TATTTCGACCCGAACCGTAACTCCAAGATAGACTACACAAATGTCAAGAAAATTCTTGATGATGTTCTCCCTAGCTACGCCAAGTCTAGAGGCACCTTCACCAGGGCAGTTCGTAAGTACGGCAAGCACACCTTCTCACACAATACGAAGTTCTTCTGCGTCAAGCAGCCGCCTGGCGGTCAGAAGGATGCCTACTACGCCCTCCATCACATGCGGGTGATCGTAAGGGACCATCATCACCTTCTGCTACTAGATAATCTCAAAGATTGGGCCGCGAGCTTGTCGGCAATCCAGGACGAGGACCTCAGACAAGAATTCTTTCGCATCCAGTCGGAGTTTGCGGACATCATCCATCAAGATGTCCTTCATACCTCGGGGCAGTTCTTCCTCAGATATCAACCGTCCAACAATGAGATAGATGGAACGCTACAAATGCAGGGTGACAACGACCGCGATTTCATGACCATCACGGCAGACGATGGCTTCATCCACGCTCCTGTCCGATGAGTCGAGTTGAAAGTAGTGATGTGTAGTTCTGAAACATTGATTGGCTCATGTTGTAATTAAAATTTAATGAATTCATATGTCTTTTTGGTTTGGACAGTCGTTCAACTTAGATGTAATCGATGCTATTTATTAGTAGGACCATGAATCATGCTATTAATGTCTTGCTTTTCTCTTCCGATCCTTTTGTTGCATACTTACATATTGCTTATGTATTGTCTGTTGTTTGGCTTGTGCATAGAGATGCCGTCGTATGTCGTGTACAAGGGTAAGGTTCCCGGAGTCTACGACGACTGGGAGGAGTGTCGGAGACAGGTTCACCGTTTCAGCGGTAACAGTTACAAAGGGTACACCACTAGGGCGGAGGCCAAATCTAGATACGCCCGCTATCTAGCGGGAGAGAGGAGGGAGCGTTGGAGGAACCGGATGAAGACCAGTTTGATCGCGATGATGCTCATCGTGATGACCGCAGCTCTCTTCTATGTGATGGTAGTTTAGATGATCGATATCGACTTGTAATGTGAAGACAAACTCGATACTCGCGGTCTTGAGGCTTGTAATGTTTTATCTTTGTTCGGTCTTTTGAATTCGGAGACTAATATGATGAATTGTATTCGGAGACTAATCTTCTATTGTATTTGATGAATCTGTTGTTGTTGTGTGCTGCTGTCTATATTTTGTCCAATAATATATTTTGTAACCTGTGCAAAAATCAGAAAAGTAAAAAAAAATATTCATACTAATGGCGCATCACCTCAAGGTGCGCCATTAGTATGCCAAAGGATACTAATGGCGCATCACCATAGAGTGCGCCATTAGTATGACAAAGCACATGGTTACGTATGGCCCCCCGGGAGGCATACTAATAGCGCATGGTGTTACATACTAACGGCGCACTACTTGGTGCGCCATTAGTATACCAGATACTAATAGCGCACTAGTGGTGCGCCATTAGTAAAAAATACTAGTGGTGTGATACTAATGGCGCACCGGTAGTGCGTCATTAGTAGGCAAAACCGGTGCGCCATTAGTAGGCCTTTTCCTAGTAGTGCAAGACGCACTCGACAAATCTATCATCAGTTGCTATTGTCTCTAAGTGATTTCTTTCTGTACTTTAAGTCTCAATCTAGCTGTAGTGATCATTTTGATCAATCATTACATGTAATAATTATCCTCAGTATATTCTTTTCTGTGGTATATGCAGGATGAAGATGTATGAAATGAAAAAATCTGGACGCTATGGCATTGGGTTCATTGACCCAAATACCATTAATATGTACACATGGAATCTTCCAACTTATCGAGCAAGTTTAGAGGAAATCATGCTAGAGTTCTTCAAGCGCCTCAATACCAATGAAGATATACTACTTCCTTACAACTTCATGTGAGTCACGTTGTCTTGTACTACAAATTCTATTTTTGCTTATTAGCTAGCTAGATGTTAATAATTAAGTGTATAGGGTTTACGGTAGTTGATTAGTGTTATGCACATATGCCCGCTTAATTAAGACATGCAAACGTGTGCGCATGCAGTTTCCACTGAATCTTGTTAGACATTAAAGTTGAAGTACTGGACTCACTACTTAAAAAAGAAAGTGACTACATCATCGTGAAGGGGATAGTCAACAGGTAATTTCAATCATTATTAACTATATCTCGGCCTATTTAGTTCGTCATTTCCTGATATGAACTATTTAATAACCCCTTTATTAATTTTCTTTGCCGGTGGGCAGGGCTTGGGCAAAGTTTATCAAGGTGACTCCAGGCAAATGGGCAAAAAAGCTGTTTTGGTATCGACCAGAGGTAAGTAATTAAGTAGTACTAGCTACCTAGCTAGCTACCATCTCTTTAATTCTTGTTTCAATACCATTAATTAATTATCATGCTTGATTAATCATTATCTGATTCAATTCCATTCTCGTAAAGGCCCTGAAGCAGGCGCAGGAAAATGATCTGTGTGCATACTACGTTTGCGAGAACATTCGCATGATGGCGTCCGAAAGGAGCAGATCTCAAAGACAGGACTGGGTACGTTTGTCAGAACACTATTCACACCATTATCGATATATCTAGTCACACAACTAATACACATGGATATTGATCTCCTTCTTAACAGTTCAGAGAGGTGCGGGAGCAGCTCCTACCAATGGACCGCATACTAGCACTTCAAAAGAAAATAGCGGGATTTTTGCTCGACCAGCTCATAGATCACAAAGGAGAATACTATTACCCGCTACCGCCCCATAAACCACTTGTCATCGTGCTCCGAAGGCACCAAGGCAACATGTAGGAGAAATTGTATATATATATACACACACACACACATGTGTATGTGTGAAAAATTAATGGTGTTGGTTGTGAGACATTCGATGATATATATTTATATATATATGCGGTTCTATGAGAAAATCTATTTATATATATGCATAACGTGTACAATATGTAGCATCGTAAAATACCAGCAAACAAAAAAGAATTAAATGGTAAACACAAAATTAATGAAAAGTAAGAAATAAAACCCAAACCCCCAAACATTTAGTACCGGTTGGTGTTACCAACCGGTACTAATGGTCTACCAGCACCCGGGTCTGGCTCGTGCCACGTGGTGGCACTTTAGCGCTGGTTCGTGCCGAACCGGTAGTGAAGAGGGGGGGGGGGCTTTAGTCTCCACTCTTTAGTGCCGGTCCCTTACGAACCGGCACTAAAGCCCGTTTCTGCACTAGTGTCGACCTCATCGTGGCCTCCCGTGACCTCAGCCTGGCCGCCGGAATCCCTCCCTTCGCGGCCGACAAAGGGGCACGGCTCGCGCAGTGTGGCCGGCGGGCGATGAGGCACTACCGGCGTGGCTGGCGCGACCAGCTGGCGGAAGGGGCGGCGCCGGCTAGGCTGAAGGAAGGAGTTCTTATCCTAGTTTTACAATTTGTTTTTACAGTATCTATTCGGCCGTAACTAAATAGACTTTTAAAAACCTTTCAACGGGTTTGGTAGAGATGCTCTTATAACCGCAAGAAGGAAATATCCAGGTTAAAAAAAAACTGGTCTGTAGTTCTGTACCGCACTGTTTTACAGGCCGCGCTTAGAAACGGCGGGGCGCCGCCGCTGGAGATCGACGCGCATCCTTCTTCCTCGGCGTCGGCGGCTGCTGCGTCCTCGTCCTCATCGCCTACGTAATACCCCCAACCCTTACCTCGTCCTGTACTCCATCTCTCTGTCCCTCTCGTTCTGCTTCCTGTCCAGTTTCCGTTCCCCTGCGGATGTCGCATCAGATCCGCCTTACATCTCCAAGATTAATCACAACTCGATATATGGAACTAAATTGGGTAGATATAGTTAAGTGGTAGATGGATTCTGCTTATTCTCGAAGAAGAAAAACAATCCAGATTGAGACTTTCCCTGCTTTAGATGTCCAACATTGCAGATAATAACAGAGGGAGAATCATATGTGCTCTGCTTTCATTTTTCAGCCAGTAGCAAGACTTGCCAGATACACTATTAGTTTGAGAAATAGGCGATCGTGGTGTGTATTGTTCAGTAGACACGAAGAATTATATGAAACTCTAACAGCCTGTCTATCTACCGCCCGTGTAGCATGCATCTATGTACTCCCTCTGTTCCAAAATAGATGACTCAACTTAGTACTAACTTAAGTTAGTACTAAGTTGAGTCATCTATTTTGGAACGGAAGGAGTAGTTGTTAATTTTATTCTGAGGAGCAACAACTTAAGGTGATAGGTGACTGTGTGTGTTTAGACTTAGTTTCTTTTGCAGGCTGGGAGGTTGCAATCCTGATGAGTAGGGGGTGCCTAGTTTCCTACATTGTTTCAGGGGCGCGGATCATTGGATCTGTCGATGTGGTGTAGGTCAGCAGCGTTATCTGTAATTTCGGTCTGGGTTTGTAGGACTTGGTGATTACTGATAATGGAAATCGGAGAGGAAACTCTCTTTTTCAACCAAAAGAAAACAACTTAAGGCGTTCAGTATCTTTGTTAATTTTAGTGTATGATGTAATTGTAGTGACGCGGTGATATTTGAACGATACACACAAATCATGTTTATTGAATCTTGGTAGCTCCAGTTCCTTTTTGTACAACTACTATACCTTGCTGCGCATGTCTAACCTTTCTCCTGAATTTTCCATGTCGAACAGGGAGAGCGCTGTGCAAATCAGGGCGAAGAGAACATGCTATGCCTCTGCCTCATCTGGGCTACGTGGATGGGCCGAGCTCCAGGACGACTTGCTTCAACCCATCATCGCTCTCCTCAGCTCGTTCCGCGACCTCCTCGCCGTTGGTTCCACCTGTCGTCCCTGGCATGATTTCTCAGCACACACGTCCTCTTTGTAGCCTCTCCTCCTCCACCCGAGCACCGACATCCAACGGTATCCCTGGTATGACTATGACTACTGGACCCTTTTCCACGAATGCACGTGGAGATTGGCTGATCCTGCTGCTGCCTCATCCTATCCCAGTTTGCTTTCCTTGAGTGACCTCAGAAGCATGTTCTTTCTTCGCTGCTCCTACGGCCACCTCATCTTCTGTGACGATGATGGGTTCTACATTGTTAATGCGTTCAGCGGCACTAAGGTTGTGCCTCCTTGCCTTAAGTCAGACAACTTCATTCGCACCAGCTATGTCACCTTGACTGCCCCTGTTGCATCCGCTGACTCGCATCTCCTTGTCGGCAGCGGAGGTTATCTGTTTCAGTGGCGCATCGGGAGCGACTCTTGGTTGGAACACTATCCGAAAGTTCCTTTTCTTAGGATTGAACAAATCATAGCCTTCAAGGGCAAAACATACACCCTAGGGTCTTTCGGGTCCTTCTGCATTGTACAATTTTCGCCCAGTCTCTTGATTCAGAAGTTTGAAGTTGTGTTCGAGGAAGATAGAACTGAAGATCGCTATTGGACAAATCAAAAAACATGGCTTGTGGTGTGGGACGTGCTTCTCTTAATCAAACTTGAGGCAGCAGGAAGGATAAGCCCGGAGGCCTTCCACTTCAAGGCCTTCAAGCTCGAGTCGCTGGACGCCAGGAAGAAGAAGGCAAGGTGGGTGAAGGTGGACAGGTTGAATAACTGGGCCATCTTTGTCAGCGCCGACGGGCGATGCGAGGCGTTGTCGTTCATGAACCCGGAGAGATGGGGAGGGAGGAGCAACCACATATACTTCCCAAGTTATCAGTCTGAACAACCTTGGGCTGCAGCGCAACTATGGCAGAGAGCTAACAACCATTCGACAAGTTCGTGGCTCTTGAAAACTGGAAGCCAGTAACACAGATTGGTGCCAACCTGGGTCCTTCCCGCTGCATTTCGTCGCTCTGGTCAGCAATGATCTTACGGCCATTGCAGGTACGGTTGGTGATTGTCCTCTGATACAGCTTTCGTGGGAGAGTTCTACCTTGCTTGCAGTTACATGATGAGTATTTTTACTGAATGTTCTTAACTTTTTTCTAAAGTTGCATTGCAAACAGAAGCTTTCGCTGTAGGGTTATTTGATTCTGCTTTTTTTGTGGGATTATAAGGGACCTTATGTTCTATTTCTCACCTACTACAAATTATGGAGTTTACTTGTACTTGGGCCACTTGATAACTTGGGTTAAACTACACACCTAAGGTGATCTAGGTCTGACCCCAAAATGCAAGTTCCTAATACCTACTCGCTAGCATATGTGCAGTGCTCATTATTCATCAAGTTATAAGCTTGCTGCTGTTCTTCATCTTTTCATGTTGGATAAACTTGTGCTGTCTTTATTTAGTGCTTGGCAGAGCTTTTTCAGTGCCATGGCAGCTGTTTTGCTGTGAATAAGTGTGCCATGGCAAAGGTTTGCATACTCACTGCACATGTGCATAATTAGCTGGTTAGGCGTCTTTCTCATCGTGTTTCGGTTGGCCAGGTCGTGGGATGGCACGATGGAGGTGGTCAGCTGGATAAGCTAGTAGGGCATAGTCCAGGCTCTGCACGGTCTTGTTCGTGGGATGGAATGAACGCTGAGGATCGCTGCAAGCATTTTGTTTGGGCCGTTAGAGGCCATTTCTTTTGTAACATAATAAAAGGAGAAAAAGAAATACAGAAAAGCTGCAAGGGTTGTGCGCAGCGCAAAAAACCTGCTTGTGCCATTGTGTTCATTGTGTGTGAGCTGAGAATTGTGTTGTCATTTCATACTAAGAAGCCTGATTAAGGTGTTTACTCTTACCTTTCATACGATTTTCTACAACCATTTCGATCCTAATCCACCGTCAGATATCTGCCATAGAACAACTGTTCCGGTATTATCATCTTAAGACGGATTTATTTGGCAGATTACCATGTCGCTGTTTAACAATGACAGAATAAAAACCAGCAATATATATTCTGTTATTTCAGACCATTTTCCTTTTTTTCCTATGTGGCATTTCCCATCATTTGGATCAGTACAAGGCTTCAACATCTGCAAAAGACAATCCATCTTGGTTCGAATAAATGGAATCTTGCTATTATGTCATTTTTTTTTTCTGTGTGTGATGAGTGATGACACCGTTGACACTTGCACTTCTAGTCAAGATGCCATGTGTATGTATCTCCGCATTTGTATTAGCTTCAGTAAACAGCTCTGCGTGCATTTCATTACCTCGGTTTGTAGAAGGAGATCGAGCTACTGATAGATGAACAAACAGAGCACATAACTAAATAAAAACCCAGGCACATCTCACCCGGTGCACAAAAAAAATGCTAAAGAGTGATATGAAGACCCAACAGGCACTAAATAGTTTCAGGATGTAAACCCCTGTCTTTTTTATGCAAAATGGGAGTATTATCAAGCTTTGGCGAAAAAAGAAACATCTAGAACAAGTTTTTGCCTCCAAGAACATACATTGGATAGCAAACAAAGATTATTGCACCACGTCAGAGAAGCGAAAAGAATAAGCGAGTGTTTGGTTCGCTACTTCAGCCTGCCACTCCAACCTGCGGCAAGCCGCAAGTGAGGCGAACTATTCATTCGCCACACATTACTTAGGCACGAAAGAGTGCAACACAGTAGTTTGTTTTGCTATCACATACTACAGCGTGGCAGGAAGCAAACAGGACCTAAGGAACATAACAATGGAACACAAACAGCCCCCAAATGCAGCCAGTGACAACAAGACAACTACATGGTGCAACGACACTGTCTTATACCCAAGCTGCAAAAGATGTAGGATTGCTAGCAAGATGAGCATTTATCGTCACAAAACAGGCTCTGGTACCCAATTCTTATTTTGGTTGCCATCTTCTGCTTATGAAAATACTCGAGCATTTTCATCCAACTCGTAGGCATGGCCATCCCTTAATCTCATCCCCTCTTGGTTCACTAAGTGTCATGGCTGTTTTTGGCCAAGGAAGAATGCACACTTCTTCAAGCCTCCATCTATCCCCTCAAATACTTTGCAGTTTCAGTCGAAAAATCGATGGAGAAGGCATCCCCGTTGCAGCCAAGTAGGAGAAGCGTATCTTCTCAAGCTACCAAATTTCCCGAAAGCATCTACGTACCGGTCCATATAATTTCTGCAAGCAACTCTTAATACCTCACCATTAAAACTAGGGTGCCAAATGCACGGTGTACAACTTTTGATGTATCCTAGTAATAACCCGGCCTTTGAAGGCCACCATCTCTTGGATCAAATGTGCACTTACAAAATCGCAGCGCAACCAAGTAGGCCTCCCAACCTCACTTGTAGTCCATGTGATGGCATGAGATTGTTGGAGCCGATGATGGTTGTTCTACATTGCCAATCAATGTTTTTAGAGTTAATAATATTTTTTTGAGGGTACTACGGTTGAGGGTACTACGGCGGGCAAAAGCCAGCCTGAACACATTCATTAATTTTAAGGTTTAACAGAGTATATGTACATAGGGTGGGGGATTGGAGAAGGTAGAAACATCAAAAGAGAACACCAATGCTACATCTAGCCGGGACAACATGATTCCTCAGTCAATCAGAACTTGTTTGCGATCTTCATTTCCACATCTATGGGCCCAAAGAAAGAGGTCCTGCGCTGCCCGCCGAAGAAGAAACCCAAGGACTCAACTTTCTGCTTGAACAGAGGGTGTCGATCACTGATTCTCAATTTGCTAGGAAAATCATACATGCTCTGCTTTTATTTTTCTGTCAGCATCAACACTTGCCAGATACAGTATTAGTTTGAGAAATACTAGGCACAGACATCTATTTTTTATCTAGCGCATATATATAACTTCCCCATATAATTGACATCCAGTGCCTGCATCATTGTTGATCTTATTCTGATCTTCTCGGGAGCCACAACTCAATGCGATTAGTACCTTCGTTCAGTTCAGTGTATGATGGGAACGTAGTGTTTTTTAGTACCTTTGAAGGATTAGTACCTTTGATGAGCAATCATGTTTTTTAGAATCTTGGTAACTCATGTTCTTTTGTATACAGTCGTTATACCTTGTTTTGCATGCCTAACCTTTTTTCTTGAATTTGCTGTGTCGAACAGGGAGAGCGCCATCGCGCAAATAATGGCCAATAGGACATGTTCTGCTTCTGTCTCCTCACTCTTTGCTTCATCTCGGCTGCAAGGATGGGCAGAGCTCATGGAGATCTGCTCCGACCCGTTGTCGCTCTACTACGCTCGTTCTGCGACCTCCTTGCCTTCAGTACCACTTGTCGTCATTGGTGTTATCTCTTCTAAGCGCACAAGTCCTCTGTCCAGCCTCTGCTCCTCCACCCAATCTCCGTACTGACGGTGGATAGTCTCTCTCGCATAACTGTTGGACCTTATTCCACAAATGCACATGGAGATTGGCTGACCCTGCTGCCACTTCATCCTCTCGCAGTTTTCTTTCCTTGAGTAACCTCAGAAGCATGACCTTTCTGCACTACTCCCATGGTCAGCTCATCTTCTTAGACAACAATGGGTTCCATATTGTTAATCCATTCAGTGGCGCTAAGGTTGGTCCTCCTTCCCTCCGGTCAGTTCACTTCACTTGCATCAGCTATGTCACCTTAACTGCCCCTGTTGCATCCACTGATTCGCATCTCCTTGTCGGTGTTGGAGCATATCTGTTCCTGTGGCGCATCGGGAGCGACTCTTAGACGAAACACAGTCCTAAAGTTGGTCGTTTTTCGATTGAACAAAATGTGACCTTCGAGGGCAAGACATATGCCCTAGGGTCTTTCGGGTGGTTCTACATCATTCACTTGTCACCCGGTCTCATTATTCATAAGTTTAAAGTTGTGTTTGAGGAAGATATAACTGAAGATCTCTATCCAGCAAATGAAAAGGCATGGCTAGTGGTGTGTGGTGATGTGCTTCTCTTGATCAAACTTGTGGAGGCGGGAAGAGGGATGCGCTCGGAGGCCTTCCAGTTCATGGCCTTCAAGCTTGAGTCATTGGACACCATGACCAAGAAGGCAAGGTAGGTGAAGGTGAAAAAGTTAGATAACTGCCATCTTTACCAGCGTTGATGAGCGGTGCGAGGCGTTGCCGTGCATGAACCCGGAGGGATGGGGAGGGAGGAACAACCACATATACTTCCCAAGTTATCAGTCTGAACAACCTTGGGCTGCAGTCCAACTATGGCAAATATGTTATTACCGTTCGACATGTTCGCAACTCTTCAACACTGGAAGACGGTACCTGAAATTGGAGTCAACCTGGGTCTTCCCCACGCGTTTCCTCGTTCCGGCCAGCGATGATCTTACGGTCGTGGGTGCGGTTGGTAATTAGCTTCTGATACAGCTTTGGTGGGAGGATTCTACCGTCTTGCCTTTGCAGGATGAGTAGTTCACTGAATGTTCTTGACGTGTTTCGAAACTTGCATTACAAACAGATGTTTAGATTAAGTTATCAGATCATGTACTCTCCTTTTTTCTCTGCGCCGATTACAAGGGACCCATATGTTTTATCTTTCATCTATTACAGGTTGTGGAGTTTTCTTGTACTTGGGCACTTACCATGGGCTAGGCCTGTAACTTCCCTTTCATGTGTTGGTACTGCAATAGAGTAATTGCACTATGGTTGTTGATTATTCACGTGATGTGCTTGAGCATATGACAGTCTCATTGGGTGGAAATGTCAATATTGAGAACATAGCTTGGGCAGAGCTACAATTTTTTCACAGAACATTGTACGCCATTTTGGGCTAGAGAGTTGCAAGGTCACCAAGAATTGGAGTGAGGATGCAAGTCCATAGACATCAGGTTAATATAAACTGCAAGTTCAGCCAACAAACATATAAGCAGCATATGTACATTCATCATAAAGTTTATATTTCGCACCAACAAAAA